TTTATTTGATTAGGTGGCAGTAGCCATGACTTGGGTCCTTTCATCACTTGTAGTTTACACAGACATTGGAATATCCTTACAAATCCAATCTCCCCTTTGCTCAAACTCTTTTGCATGGTGTCATTTCAGGTGTTCTAACCTTCAGCATTTTGATTTGTATTGTGATGTGATTTCATTTTTCCACAAATATCTGTGGAGATTCTCAGTCATCCGGGTCATAGTTGTCTCAAAGGAGCTTTTTCAAAAGGCAACTAATCTGTTTTTTCTCTGAGGAGGAGGAGGAGGAGGAGGAGGAGGAGGAGGAGGAGGAGGAGGAGGAGGAAGACATTTCACTTCTCATCCAAGAAACTTCATCAGGATGATGGAGGCGATGAAAGGATTTGTTCTGGCAGAATTGGGGCAGAGGTTTGGGGCTGAAAGAGTGCAAATGGGGATGGAATCTTCTTGGAACTGCTGGAAGGACTGAGTTGTAGACAGGGTCCACATTGACCATTAGTTTGAAAGGGGTAAAAGAGACCATTTCTGTTAACATTGAACAGTTCTCTCTCAACAGCGAGACAGGGATAAGACCCCCACTATCTCCTTTCAGCAGTCCGTTCATAAGTTCCAAGAAGATTCCACTCCCATTTGCACTTTGATACAGGTGACTCCGAGGGCATAGATAAACCCCCAAGTGGCCTCAAGAACTCTCGGGGAAAGTGTTAATAACCAGATGACTGAAAACAAATATGATCCTTCCAACTAACCCCCCCCATCCCGCCAGAACCAATGAAGCTTCTTGGATGAGAAGCAAAACATCTTTTACTTCTTTTTCAGGGGAAAAGTCCTCTTACCTTTTGAAAAAGCACCTTTGAGACATTTTTTTTTTCCAAACTTGTTCCAGTCTGACTAATACAGTAGCATGGCCCAAACATATAGTGGTCTTTGACATACAGTTGAAGGCTTGAACAGTGTGTGTGTGTGTGTGTGTGTGTGTGTGTGTGTGTGTGTGTAAAGCACAAAGCTGAAAACACCAGCCTGAAGATGACGAATGGGACTTCGTCGAAACGTCGCCAAGACACTTCCAATTTTACACGGGAGAAAACCCGAATAACCAAAGACATATATATATATATATATGTTTTCTGAGGCTTTCGCCGGTGTTTGTATGTAGGTCTTTGGTTATTCGGGTTTTCTCCCATGTAAAATTGGAAGTGTCTTGGTAACGTTTCGACGAAGTCCCATTCGTCATCTTCAGGCTGGTGTTTTCAGCTTCGTGCTTTGAGGAGCAATGTGTGGTCTTAGCTGTTTCTTCCTTTTAACTGCCAGGGGAGGTATGAACTGATTGGGTGGGAGCTTGGCTGTGTTCTGATTAGGTGGAGGTGTGTTCTGATTGGTTAGGGGTTTGGCTGTGCTCTGATTGGATGGGGGGTTGGCTGTGCTCTGATTGGATGGGGGGTTGGCTGTGCTCTGATTGGATGGGGGGTTGGCTGTGCTCTGATTGGATGGGGGAGTGTTCTGTTTGGGTAGGGACTTTGTTGTGCTCAGGTTAGTCTGAGTTGCAGGGGGATTTAAGATAGTGGGCTGCCTTGCTATTGTTTGGCTTCACGTTCGTGGTCGTGCCTCATCTTCATGGTGGATGTCAGTTTGCTTCATGTATGGATTGGAGGGGTTTAAAGTGGCTAAAGTCCCACACTCACTAAAACCACACAGGATGTCACCACCACACATCCACGCAAAAAGCAAACCCAAAGCCACACCGATGATGAGGCACAACCACAAACCAGAAGCCAGACCACAGCTGCATCATTAGCCACTTTAAACCCCTCCAATCCATACATGAAGCAAACTGACACCCACTATGAAGATGAGGCACGACCATGAATGCGAAGCCAAAAAATAGCAAGGCAGTCCACCATCTTAAACTCCTCTGCAACTCAGACTAACCTGAGCACAACAAAGTCCCCACCCAAACAGAACACTCTCCCCATCCAATCAGAGCACAGCCAACCCCCCATCCAATCAGAGCACAGCCAAACCCCTAACCAATCAGAACACACCTCCATCCAATCAGAACACAGCCAAGCTCCCAGCCAATCAGTTCATACCTCCACTGGCAGTTAAAAGGAAGAAACAGCTAAGACCACACATTGCTTCTCGAAGCACAAAGCTGAAAACACCAGCCTGAAGATGACGAATGGGACTTTGTTGAAACGTCGCCAAGACACTTCCAATTTTACGCAGGAGAAAACCCAAATAACCAAAGATAGATAGATAGATAGATAGATAGATAAATAGATAGATAGATAGATAGATAGATAGATAGATAGATAGATAGATATCCTGCTTAAGCTACTTCAGTTTGTAATTTGTTGCACTTTTCACCCTTCTTTCTAGAAAGATATGTTTACAAAGACAAACCAACATTCATCACTCATTGGTAGAGATGCCTGAATTTTAAGTAAGGAAATACATGCTATTAGCTATTTATCAATCAGTGCCCTTAGAATATACGTCCCTTAGGAAGAATGGCAATACAACACAATCAAGAGCACAATGGGAAAACAGCATATCTTAGCAAGACATTGTACTGCTACATCATGAGCATATGCTAAGGAAGTGTTAGAGAGGAAATGATGGGTGTTCTCTAATTTTAATTCCAACTCATACCTCTATAGCAAGGTTTCTCAAATTATGATGTGTATCTTCCTTGGGAAGTGCAAACAAACTCCACGGGGGTGTAAAGAACCCTTTGTCAAATTGTACATTGTTACAACAAATCCTTCTTCCCCAAACTTTCACTGTATTGTTTTCATTGTTCATTTATGTTCATTTTGGTGTTTAGAGTTTTAGGGGAGGTATGTACATTGATTATACTAAAGGGAGATGCGATGGCAAAAAATTTAGGAACCTCTGTTCTTCACTATATGTACAATAATAATGATAAAATGTTTTCAAAATGAATATTGCATAAATATTGCAGAATAGATGAATGCATTACAATTTTGTATTCCTGTAATTACTGAAAGACTGTAAAGCTCTACTGTATCATTATATATGTGTAACTCTATATACTCCAAGCAATAATATCCTTCAATTCTGGAAATAAATTGCATTGAAAATTGTCCGGGAATTTTTTTCTAAAACAGCTTTGTTGTTGTTAGTTGCGAAGTCGTTTCCAACCCATCGCGACCCCATGGACAACATTCCTCCAGGCTTTTCTGTCCTCTACCATCTTCTGGAGTCCATTTAAGCTCATGCCTACTGATTGCTTCAGTGACTCCATCCAGCCACCTCATTCTCTGTCGTCCCTTTCTTCTATTGCCCTCAATCTTTCCCAGCATTAGGCTCTTCTCCAGTGAGCCCTTCCTTCTCATTAGGTGGCCAAAGAGTTTCAACTTCAGGGTCTGAAAAGAGCTTTACAGACTGCAAATCTCAGTTCTTAACTAAATCAATTTCAGAATAAATGCAGCACAATTTGATGTGCACCTGGATTAAAAGATTTTTAAAATTCTGCCTTAGCATGCTCTTTTTCCTATTATTAGGGCCCCATTAGCGTCAATGAGCCAACTGTAATAAATAAAATGCAGATCAAGAATTGGAACCAAACTTAATTTTGACATTGTACTTTTTTTTTAAAGGAGAGCTTTATGATTTTCACTAATGGAAAATGGACACCTCCATATTGTATAGTATCAGATAATTATGAGCTACTAAAGAGTAGGTGTGTACGACCGAATATAATCAGTGCATTCTCCTTCCGTGTGTACCGTTAATCCAGCACTTAGTTCCAAGTATTGTCTATCATACTATTCATTTTCCATTTTCTTTCAACAGAGATGAAGAAGTAAGTCAAATCTCTCCGAAACAAAACTCGGAGACGGAGAGAGTTCGAGTCAGTTCTCGAACAGAACAAACAGAATGAAAGGATGGGTGCTAATACGAGTCTGGGGCAATGGCAGACTCCCAGATCTATAAAGGCAGCCAGCCTTGAAGAACTGAATGAAAGGTTTGAGAAGGATAGATCATGTTTAGTTTCCAGATTTTAATGTTTAAAAATAACACTCGGTTATGGGATACGATACGTTAAGAGTCCTTTCCATTAATTCAGAATATGTTCGTAGAGACGAACTTTATACGCCCCCCGCCACACACAATCATTTAGCTGATTGTTGGCACGCACACACACACAATCATTTAGCTAATTATTGGCATAGATGGAACCTAATATGTTGGGACAAAAGCCTGATGCCACACATTAAGCGAAGCTTTCCTTGAGGACTAGTTGCGCGGGACTGGGGAAGATCCTCCCGCCAAAATCAAAACAAAGCAAAAACCCCCGTTGGTGTAACGTCTTTGCTTGTCGAATACTAGTGCCGTTTCAGCGGCCCAGCTCCCTCCAAACTGCCGCCCACCCACGAAAACGTCAAGCTCCGCCTCAGCTGGAGAGGTTTCAACGCGGCTGTAGAAACGTTCCCTTCCCAGCGCCGTGGGCAGACAGGCATGGAGAGCAGCCTCCATTTGCGCCTTTTTCCTCCCTCTTTCTCCTAAAGGTGGAGTTGCATAGAGGGGCGGGCTAGCGGGCCGCCAGCCAGCCAGTCCTGAGCACTCAGCATCCTCCATCCTCAGGCTGCGGGTTCCAGGGTGCGCGCTCTCTTTCACACACACACACACTCGCCCTAAGAAACTGCTACTGGCTGCCACTACCATGGGCCACTTCGGCAACCTAAGGCGACCTTCCTTTCAATTATGTCTCTCTGCCACACACACACTCTCTCTCTCCCTCACCCACACACCGCACGTTTGGAGGCCAGCCGTGCATGCTACTTAAGTGCGTCTTTGTAACACAGGGCGTTTTAATAAAGGGTCCCTGCCATTCGTCCCGTCGCTGGGTTTCGAAGGGGTAGGTGGTTGAACAAGAGCGTGTAACCGAAGACCATATGTGGCGACCACCAGTGACTACCAAAAACAACACCATAAAAAAGATTGGGGGGGGGGGGGAAGCAAGGAGCCGAGGAGTTCCTTGTTATATTTTCCACAAGGGACGACAGTTCCTGCGGGGGCGGAGGGGGGAAGAGGTAATGACAATTAAGTATAAAAAGCCCCCTCCCCGCTTTGAATCTGTGCCTAACTAGCAGCAGGAGAAGAAGAGGCGGAGGGTTTGATGATATTGGAAGCCCCGCCCAATGCCTGGGCAGGGGGACGTCCTGCTTCCCCCCTCTCCCTCCGCGCGCACGCCCGCCCGCTCTTTGGAAGGAACTGGAGTGGCTTCTTTCTTTCTCTCCTTGCTGCTGACTCTCCTCCTTCTCCCTCGCCGCCCCCTCCCCATGCACGCACAGAGCCCGTCTCTCGCGCTCGGTCCTGCAGACAGACAGGGAGACAGAAGATGGCTGACTCGCCAGGGCAACCCACGGTCCGGCCCGCATCCCCAACCCTCCCAGAGCCGCTTTCTCCTTTGACACCCGTTGACGCTTTCGCCCAGCGCTAAAAGCCGCCCCCGTCCTCCCTCCCTTCCTCTCCACAACCTTCCCCCCAAAGCTTTTCCCAAATAATACCAGCAGCCATTTCATTTCCACCAAAGTAGATACACGCGCGCGCGCGCGCACATACACACACACACACACACAACACACACGCACACAAAACAACAAAAAAATGGCAGAAATGGAGAAAGAAGGGAGACCTCCAGAAAATAAAAGAAGCAGGAAGCCGGCTCACCCCGTGAAAAGGGAAATCAATGAAGAGATGAAGGTACGTCTCTGCGCTCCCCTTTATCACTATCGGATGCGAAAAGGGAAGAAAAAGGGAGAGGGATGGAGAGGAGGGAAGCTTATTGCAGATCCCCCCCGTAATCCGGTCTCCCCTCCCCTCCATGGAAGAATATATTATAAATAAAAGACCTCTTGTTTTGTTGTTGGGGGGGGAACCTCAGATAGGGTTGGCGAAAGGTGCCTGAACTCCTCCTAATTGCAGAGTTCACAGGCGATAAAGCCAGATCCCTAAGCGGATCTGATATGTTGATGGTTATAATTACTATTATTTATAATATTTTCTCCAAAGGGGTTCAGTTCCCTTCTATGTGCCCATCCCAGCCAGATAATCTAGAAGCTGTTAAAAGTTAGAAAAGAAGGGAAGTCATTTAAGCACCCTCTCCCTCTGGCCCCCTTTCCAGTAGCCAGCTGCAACTGTGTAATTAAATTGTCAAAGTGAAATGTTATGGTCTGAACTGCACATCATTCTTGAGCTTAGACACAGGATCTCTTGTCTTTTTCTTCTCCCTTTTACTTCTGTGTCTGTTTTCTGTGCTCCACTTCACAGTTAATCAAGGAAGCAGAGTGTTGAATTGAAAGCTGTCCTAGAAGGGTGCATGAATATGAATGTTTGTGTGTGTACATTCTGTTTATCATCTATACCTGTTTGGAGTGATTGTGTATGGGGGAGGTAAAACCAGCATCCTCACAGGAAATAGTGCCAATCCAGCTGTGTTCTAGAGGTAATTTTGTGGGCTGGCACTCCAGAGGCTAATATCTAAAAAGTTGCCCAATAAATAAATAAACATTATTCACCTGGGTGAACATGAAATCACTGTCTGATAGCACTGTTATTGTTGTTAGTATTAATTTTTATGTTTCTCATCTTTCCTTTCCCTAAACCTCCCTACGGGTCTGAAGTGAAGTTGCTTTGCTTCAAATAATAAAACAATATAGTTTTCAGATAGGATACAATTAATTCACCGGAGTTGCATTTAGTGAAATGGAGCATTCATAATCATTCTGTTAACAGGTTATATTCAAATATCCAATATATATTGTTGGCATGTAATAATTTAAAAAGCTGTTGTGTGAAACTGAATATGCATCATCATGGAATCTTTGCCTATGTGGTCCAAGGCTAGCAACCGAAAGGGATCAACAAGACCATTTTACTTATTATGCTTAGCAAATCAATTTGGAAGAGGATGCTTGCTTTAATGTTTAATTTTTAAACTCAGTCAATCTGTTATTTGTCTGTATTGTTTCTTTCTGTATTGGAGGTTTGTCCAACAGCAGATGGACATTTGAACAAAGGTAGTGGTGACACATGTAAGAACAAAGTGCCCTGAATATCTATAACATTTATCCAATCTCTAGGCATATATACATATGCCTCTTTGCAGGTAGACTTTCTATCTTAGGGGAAGCTTTGTGCACACTTGAATTTAAGAGTAATTGCTTAGTCAGACCTTGTTTGGATTTTTATTTTGGTAAGGATAGAGAGGAAGGGGGACAGTGGGCATGGAACTCTGTCCCATTATGCACTGTCCGTTTAAGACAGTGCTTCATTCGATCTGCAGTTTTTCAGTTTCTTAGGTTCTAGCATTACAAATTAGCTAATTTTAATCAAAACATATGAAATGCTATCCTGGCTGGATATAAAGGCTGACTATGCTGGATCCTCTGGGTTTGTTTTGTTTACTTTGGCTGCAGGCACACTTGGTGGTTTGGGAGATAGTTGTTCTTCTGCAGTAGAACAGATGTTTGTCTGAAATGGTGAGGAAGAAACAAAAACAACACTGTATGTGAAAGGAGGAAAATTACACAAGATTTTTTTTTCTTTTTATGAAAGTCTATTAAGCATTAGTGTTAATTTTAAGGCAGGTAAACCTCTCTTTCCCTAATCCTCTGATAATGGAAGAAAAGCAATAAGAGAAATAAATATATCAGAGTTTCATTTATATGAGTAATTTAATCCAAGGCTGTGGATCTGATATAGTTTTGGGAACAGCTTTTATAGATTGCGCGGTTGAAATGTGAATAACAGCAGAAGCTTTCAGGCAGCCTTGGCTACATCGTAGAGTTAGTTATCTTATTAAGCTTGGAGAGCACATTCTGGGTTTTTATAACTAAAGTTCTGAGCAGGTTTTCATCTTGTTTCCTTCTAAGTTCCTTGGATATTTCCTTGTCTTTCTTTCAAAAATTCTTCACTTACTGAAAGAAAGGTATACCAAAAAGATTTCCTCCTCTTCACTAAGTTAAAGAGTACAGTAACTTAACAAATTAGTCGTATTGTATGAAATGTATACGACAACATTTTCTGGTGAGCACAATGTGCCCTTGTGTAGGTGCACATCTGAACTGTTCAAGCAGCTTGACTGCTTCCCTTCATCTGAACTGCTTTCATGTGGACTTGTGTAAAATAAGCTCTGCTAAGTAATCACGACAGAGCAGAAAGAAAGGAATGTATATAGCAATAGACAGCCTAAGCTGTAAAAACTGAAACCTGAATCCTAGCAGCAGATCAGATATCAAGGCTGTAAGGTAGAGGGAGATGAAGAGATGAAGTGGGGGGGGGGGGGAGGAGAGAAGAGGAGAGGGCTGAAGGAATGGAAAAGTCAGCTTGGAAAGTGCAGGACAAGTAGGAGGGGCCCCCTCGGGAAATTTGGCTCAGGGATTAGGGAATTCTATCACGGTATACAGTGACCTACTCAAGTTTCAAGCCATGTTGGATTGAATTGCTTCCATTTGCCAGGAGAAAGAAAAAAAGACCAGCGTGTATGTGATTCCCTCTCTCCACCCTCCTTCCAGTAATAAAAAGCCACTGGGTACAAGTGTCTATTTTAAGTGCAGCAAATACAAGGCACTATGAATGAGTAATAAAATTACCTCATCAGACAGATTTTCTTGAAGATTTGTTCTTTGACAGAGCCACATATTTGCTTAATACTGATGGAAAGAAACTCAACCACTCTCTGTCATATCAGTAATACCAGTTGCTCAGTTTTAATAAGGTTGAAAACTGATGTTGTTTGCTGTTTCATAATGGTAGATATTAGGTTACATTTTTGTTATCTCTGGCCTGATGTACATGACAGTTGTGAGAAACTTCAGCTTGATACAACATTGCATCCAAAAACTACATGATTGCTTTGGTTTCCCTTAAAATGCATTAAAATTCAGTGTAAAATTCACTAAAGAATTCTGACTGAATGTTTTGTTTTACTGTGACCATCAGTATAATTCTAATTCTTTCTTTTTATCTGCCCTCAATATTCTTAGAATTTATTAATATTATTGTGTTGTATGATAAATTACAAATGGGGGAAATTATAAATCAGCTGTGTACCAAATTTACATCCTCCAAAATTTAGCAACTTGGAATTTCCAGCCAAGGACTGGACATTTTAGAAATGGTGATTGCAATATACCAAGTTATAGGATTGCTAAGAATGTAACAAACTAAATATCAAGTAAAACAATTCACTTAGCAGTGTGAATATGTAGATTTTTAAAAACCATAGAGAAATACAGTATGTTCCATTCATAAATCCTCATCTATTTCAGAGAAATACTATGAACATTTAAAATGGTTATTTTATACTAAATGGATTATACTTACATGGAAACTTAATATTATATAATGTTATAAATGACAAGAATATAAGAATCATGATTCGAACACCTTACAATTTAAAGTTCATGTGAATTGAATGATCTGATTACACATAGAAGCTATACTGAAAATTTTGAGTTCACCTACCCTTTTGGGTTTTTTTTAAACAATTGTGAGATGAAATCAGACCTGTTGTATAATATTCAGAGCTGATTTTATGCACCTAAATTGATTACTTTTCAGATTCTAAGTAAGTAATTTAACTAAAATAGATGTCATTCTAGATTATTTAATCTGTTGTCATTAATCGGCAAATTCATGGAAATATTCTAACTGAAAAGCTTAAAACTGGCTGCTCACTGAAAAAGGCAAAAGAAATAGGTGGAATCCAAATTTAATCATGCTTCAAGTACATTCTGTTAAATTGATGGATTGCTTAGTCATACCTTTCACTCTACAAGACATTTGAAGATTTAAATGTTATTTGGAAAATAATTACATAGGAAAGAAACGTGTAAGTATTTTCAAATCCCCTGATAAACTACTATCAGACATCATATAAGAAACTATAAATCTTGACAAAGAATATTCACAATAGTTTGGAAATCTTTATCTAGAATATATAAGAATCTACAAGAAAATTAAAATAATGTTGGAAATTCATCTATACAGGCTAGTGTGCATTTATTTGCCATACTGACATCTATTCATAATATCAAAAAGATTTGATAGAAATATAATATCACATGACAGGCATACATTTTTCATTTGTTCTATGGCTCCAGATTCATCTTCCATGTTTCAATCAATATAGCAAGGAAGGAAACAGAAAAAAAAGAAAAAGTTCCCACTTCTACTTAAATTTTTTAAAAATAATTAGTAGCATTCTGTTTTAAAAAATAAGAGACTGAATTTCCCTTGCATTTCCATTTGCATTTGTCTGGTATCATTCCCCATTTTCTGACAGAGAAAAAGCTGAAGGTAAAAATGTGGTGAAAATTCAGAAATAGAACCAATTATCTTTCATGCAACGTAAGGAGTTATGTTATCTATATGATGATGCTACAATAAAACGTATTTTAAATAGAGCGTGTATGAAATAATTTTCATTGCCTTTTAAAGACTTTAGTCTCATCAGACTTCTTTCCACTATCCTGTATGAGGAAAATGTATGTGAATAGTCTTTTACTTCCCAACTTGTATTTTTATGCACTAAAATTCAATAAAATATACAATTAAATCACGCAGATTAAAATTATTGTAAAATGTGGGTTGGGCTGTATACGTGAAAATGAGCAACTATACAGAAAAGCATTTTATTTATTTGCTGATACAAAGTGAATAAAAAGTATTTTCATGTCAGTTCCTTTGGTAAAAAAAAT